TTCTTGACTTACTATGGTAATACAGAAAAGCAGTGGGTAAATAAATACTCCCAAATTACAGAAAAGAATACATGAATAATTTAAATGTATTTACCAAATATATTACATTTTGTCAGAACCATCAAGTTAATTTTCCTATACTAACATCAACATCAATCTGATGTCTGAAGAAGTACCAACTGTTACAAAGTTTCTAATACTTCAAACAACAGCATAATCCGATGAAAATAGTAAACTGAAAGGATCATCCTTTATGCTCTTTTAATATCTTATCACTTATATTCATCTTTTTTCTTCACACACTTACTACTTTTAAATGATGGCAAGATATACTGTTTCCTCAACCATGTTTCCCTTGCCAAATTCTGTAATTCTGTTCACATGGGACAATGTCCCTATTACGTCATTTTTGTCTTTTCCACTTTCCGAGACTGTTCTATCATCTGACTAGCATATATCTAACCCTAAACATGTTTGGCCTAACAAGATTTCAGTTCCTTAAACTATTAAAGATTGATCTGCTCTCAATATCCTTTTTCTATATAATTAGGGTTTTTCTCTTCCCACTCTGCCAATCTGCCCATGTTTTGAAAACATATTCTTATTTTTATTAAATTAATCCAGTAGGGTATTCTTAATTTCTCACTAAAATTTAATTATAAAACATTACATTAAAAAATGAGAATTTTAACTCTAACCAATGTGACAACATACTGGCAAAAACTTCGATAGGAAATAGAGGCAATTTCCCTGAAGATTTACCAATTGATGTCAGTCTAGATCTACAAAGGCTGGACCTAATCAGATTGTTTACCAGACCGAATTTAGGTAAATCTGCATGATGAACATGAGTCACATCATAGTCAAATATGTATTACTTACATGAGAATTGCATCTTGGTCTCCTAAGAACAAAAAAAATTGACAATATGAAAAGATTATGGGATATTATCTAAAAATTCGAGTCCTTGTTTTTCTGCTGTTGTTTTTGTTTTCCTGTGAACAGATAAACTTTATGACACAAAGAACTTAAAGTTCTTTAGGCAAAATATCAGCTTCTCATACTGATTTAACAGGTTCTGTTATTTAATCTAAAAAATAGATAATATAAAATTTAGATATTTATATTAATAAAGAGAATGTGTTTCTATCAAAAAGGAAGATTATTGGCTATGACTCTAAACCACATCATCAGCTGTAAAGTTCTCTATCTTGGTTTGGTTTTTTTAAAAGCTACAGACTGTAATCATATGTAAAATTACTTAAAAAAAAATATTATATTCTCGTGCAAAAAGGGAACGAGGAAAGCTTATGACAGCTATTAATCAAAAAAATAAAAACAAAAACTGCTTTTAGTTATACTTGGAACACTTCTAAAATTATAAATAAAAATGTTAACTGTTATAACTTTTATAGTATTTTATAGAATACTAAATACATTAAATTCAACTAAACAAAGTTTAAATATACTTTATTACAAGATTATCAAACTAGTCATTTAGTATTCATATTTAACAAATATCTGCTTAATCTTAAAGTAAATACCTGTGGAATTAATCTTAAAGTAAATATCTGATGTGGAAAAAATAAAGTCTAAAACATAATAAATATAATTTAAAATTATCATTCTGAAAGTTAATCATCTAAAAAAGACGTTATAATTTACAGTGTTTCTATGGATTTGATTAATTCATTTTAGTTGATGAATTTTTGTATTTGCATTTCCATAGTAATTACAAGTTATAACATAGTATTGCAGTATATATCTGTATAATTGAATTGACATTAAACCTATTTAAAACATTTCTAAAAACTTCACTGAGCTGCCATAATTTTTGTCAGCATATGTAGTACTCAATGACCATTAAAATACCTGAATTGAAACTATTCCAGTCTAGCAGTTTGTAAGGTCTTGTGTTACCCATAATTCCGACAAAGGCTGAGTTCAAAACAGCAAATTAGTAGATCAGTTTTAGGTGCAGAATAGTAGGAATAAAACAAAAAAACACTACAAACAAGAACACAATTGACAACACCACTGGACAGGAACTGGAAAGACACAGACAGCAGAGTTAATAAGAAGTAGAAATAGAAAGGGAAGAAGAAACATGCTATAATCATCTACATTAACTAAAATCTACTTAAGATAAATTACCTTGATTTTAAAAACCACCCCATTCTTTCCCTTGACGTATGTGCCTGTTTACTGAATATTTTTAAAAGGAGAAAGTGCTTAAAAAAATACTTCCAAAATAATGACCAAGAGTTGGCATGTGGTGGTGGTTTTAAAATAAGATTTTTACATCTATTCTGAATGTGAAATAAAAATTTCCCATATTCAAAAACTAGCTATAAGCATTCGAGAGTGCAAATAGCACTTTCAACTTTAGTACATGCATTTCAATCATCAGTTTCTCTTAGCAGAGAAACTGTTAGTAAGCTAATAAATAATCATTATAGTAACTGCTAGTTTTGTTTTAACATTCAGCATTTTTCAACAAACTAACATTTTTCCATAAATAATAATCTAAGCGTTCTGGAGATAAAATGTTCCTGAGAAAATTTTCTTTTTTAGTGTATAATACATACATATAACAACCAGAAGAATGTGCTATTTTAAAACAAAACAGTATTATAGTGGAACCAATGGAATATATAATTGATATGTATTTAATTAAAATAAAACACAATGAAAATATAAATCATATACCATTTAAAGCATTTATATGTATATGCCCATAACCTTTTGGAAAATAATCTATTAGCAACTGAGAATTTCTACATATGAGTTGAAAAAATATTATGAAAGGGGAGAAAAGGGAGAGAATGTATGAGCTGGCAATTACAATACACAAAACATACTCTGTAAATTAGGATTCCTGTTTTCTTCTCTGGACTGAAATTCTTCACAATTGTTACACAGATGTAACTGGCAAGTATGATAATCCCCTCAAAAACAGTTTTTTGTGAATAGTAACAACAATTAAGTAAAGATCTCTACCTAAATTTAAGTAATCTCATTTGTTCTCCCAAACTCTACAGCTTACTCAGAGTACATGGAATCAACAACATAAAATGAAATTGTTTTCAGTTAGCAGAAGACATTTGTTGGTGTTTGCCACTGAATAGATTCCGACTCATAGCTACCCTATAGGACAGACGAGAACTGCCCTCATAGGGTTTCCTAGGCTATAATCTTTACAGGAGCAGATCTCAAGGTCTTTTCTCCTCAGGAGCCGCTGGTAGGCTCGAACCACCAGCCTTTCGGTTAACAGCCAAGCGCTTAACCATTGTGCAACCAGGGCTCCTTAACAGGAGACATTAGCAACAATTAAACGTGTTCCTGAAACCACTTTTGGACCTATCATATCGCCAGATGCCATGTATCAAAATATTTGAGTCAATGGTCCATAGAAACACAGGTAACGAGCCTTGGGTCACATGGTTGAGTATCAGGTATCTTAGTATTTGCTTGCCCTCTCTGAATTATTCAAATTCCCAAGTATAAAAATTTTGAACTTGGCATAGTCTTCAAGATCTCAATACACTCAGTTGGCATCAGTCTGAATTTGCTTTTAAGTACTGCACAATATACAAATATTATAATGAAGAAAAGATCTTAAATTGATCAGAAAATAAGAACAGAAAAAAAAGGACTAAACTAGAGGAGAAAAAGACAATTCTGTTGCTTAAAAGATGTATCTGCTAAGGTTTAAAGTTGAATAATCCTGGCTATGAAATTTCATTCAGAGTATTACTGCCCAATTCAAAAGTTTGTTTTCAGAACTCCATTCTGTTTCCCTGTAACCATTAATTCAAAGAACACTAAACTACAGGGCATAGATTAAATTAAAAAGTCAAAAAGAAGAGTAATGCTCTGAATGCTCAAAATCACTAACAGCAGTATTTTCCATCCAATAATTTCAAAGCATTTTGTTCTTCTTTTTAAAGCTGTCAATACAAGCCTCCAGAAGAGGTTATTGGAAGTAACAATACAAATTTCTCAAAAATGCATGTATATATGTCGAAACAGAATACTAATATGACTTCAGTTTAAGGTATGTCACTGAAATAGTAAGTGACTTGAGCAATATTTGGGCATCTAATCAATGAGAAATGCAAGAATACATTCCGTAAGATAATTCCTACCATTTACCCTCATAATTTTAGAATATAAAAATCACCAGAGCATCTCTAATCCAAGGGTCTGAAATTACTGGTACTCTGAGGCCTATCTTCTTTTATAATCATGGCCTCATGTTTAAAGAAATGAGTTACTATTCATATTATGTTTGCTTATATAGAATAGCTACATAGAGGAAGCCAAGGAACCAGAAACATTAGGTTCTTTTTATTAAATTCTTCTTAATTTTTAAAAATTCTTCACATTTACAATTACATATTAAAAGACACTTTTTTAAAAAATAAGAAAATTGCTCAAATAATCTATAAAGAACTATTGTTAATGAAAAGAATTAACATCTTAACAGTCATAATGATCAAATGATAAAACTTTTTATCTGCCAAAAAAAAATCCCACTGCCGACGACTCGATTCCGACTCACAGCGACCCTACAGGACAGAGTAGAACTGCCCTATGTGGTTTCCAAGGAGCAGCTGGTAGATTCGAACTGCCGACCTTTTGGTTAGCAGCCATAGCTCTTAACCACTATGCCACCAGGGTTTCCTTTATCTGCCTAGGTCAAAGAAAACAGATGACTAAAAAGATAAAGATCCTCTCAAAGTGGTAGCCTGGTCAAAAATGAATCTAGATTTGTATGCTTGTTTTTTATAGAAAAGTAACTAAAATATACTTCTACTTAGTTTATTTTTAATTAAGATTATCACAAATATTTAAAAGTATCATGTGCCAGGTTATACGCTATTTTTTAATTTTTCTTTTAGACAGGCTTGGCTTAAAAAACAACATTATAAAAATCAATTTTAACAACCACAATTTAAGTAAATGAAACTTTAAAAACAAACTTTTCAGGAACTTACCAGGATTGTGGATACGATCTAGAAGCTTCACAGAGCGTGCACTAACAACACCTCCAACATGTACAAGAAATCCAGGAGGAAATGCCGTCAAGGTAAAAAATGGAAATTCCTAGTAGAAAGAATGGGAAAAAAATACAACTGACCATGTGTAAAGTACAAAAAATCACTAACTAAAAGCTTGTTGTAAGTATTCTATCCCTTGACACAAAAAGGCTACCCACTATACATTACACATGCTTTGTAATTAAAAGCTTCCTTGGATATTTAGAGTTCTAAATCCATTTTTCTCATATATACAATATGATAAGGAATCCAAAGACTACCAATTTTCAATGAGGAAAAATGTTTTCAGAATTCTAATTCGAGATATTTGGAATACATTCTCCCTTCCTCTCAGTGTAACTCTAATGTAACTCCACAACGGGATGAGGGGATTCCCCTATTTCTCTACCCCCATATCCACTGCTCAGTGGAATAGACTCCTCCTCACATACATACCCAATTCCAAGCTACTGGTAATAACCCAAGCCTAGGGCAAGTGATGTAAAAGAATGGAGGCCTCTGGGAGAGACAATGAGAGGACAAGCAGTGTGGATTAAAAGGTACATAGAAAGGAGAGAAGATAATGGCAAATATCAAGTGGAGGTGGGTGAAGAATAGCTGTGAAAGATTATTTACTCTCCTTATTCTATCAACACCAGGGCAGTAGGAACAAATGCAAGTGCAAGCATGTACATATATTAAGGAAAGCGGAAAGAGGTAGTCAAAATTCCACAAGCTCTCTCAAGTTTTACTCTCCCTTTTCTCTTAAGGACATCAAATCTGTCAATTTAGAGACAAGGACACGCAAGCAACGGAGTAATGGGAAAACAGAGTAAGGAAATTCATTGAATTAGCATCCAGGAAGAAAGGGGAGATCCTGCGGCTGCCCAATGGAGTGGCTTCTCACTTTATACAAATTGGGTGTAAGTAAGGGAAACATAATACAGATAGTCCCCAGGTTATGCATAAGTTCTGTCCCCAAATGTGTCTTTAGGTTAAATTTGTAGCTAAGTCCGAACAGTTAGGTACTGTTTGTATCAGTTAGACAAATGTTTGTCTTAGTATATAGTATATAGTGCACCTTTCTATGCATAAAAAATATTAAAGAAACACTTCCAGATACACTAAAACATCTTTAACATAATAATACAGTAACAATAATAATAGTAATGTGATGCGCGTGGCAAAGTAGTGCTAGTTCGTTACTGTGAACAATTGTACGTACTTTGAATTTTTATTGGTTCATAAATACAGGTTGTACATCGAACTTTCGTAACCCAGGGACTGCCATATCTGACTTCTAAGCTACAAGATTAATGCCAACTCCTCATTTAATAAGTTACTTACCAGTAGCCTCAACTATTTAGAAAATAACTGAGAACTGGAAAATAAGCAAACAGGACTCTCAACAGCCAAAAGAACTGTTACAATTCCAAGTACTAAAGCTCATGCACTTTATTCATAGGAGATTCCTATATATCATATTCATATTATGATTATATATGTATGTATATATACACATACATACATATAATTTTGAAAACATATAATTCTAATATCTATCATTATCTCATTTTCTGGACCATGGTGGACTAAATGCAGTAAATAAAAGCTGGGAAAGAGAGAAACAGGCACATTAAAAGCAGCAAGATGGCTGACTGGCTGCCTAAGAGCATAGTGAATACAAACTCACAAAAGCATAACCCACAAAGCATAGCAACTCAGAATCATTTAGCACAAAAGCAAACAGTTCTGCATACCTCAGTAACCAATGAAGGTAAAGTATTAACTGCACACGCGCGCATGTGTATACACACACAGATATATATTATACGCTCAGAAGTAAATTCAGTTAGAATTTCAAAGAATTTAAATTAAATTGATAGAAGTAGAAAATTCCTAGGCTATGTAAGAAAAGGGTGAGGAATCAGTGGTTAGGTGTGGCCCAGATGGTGAGGGGAGGGGAAGATAACACTTAAATGTATTATAAAATGTTAAGTCAAAATCATCCATAATTCTACCTGAACTTTTTAAATATGTCTTAAATGAGAAATGTGTTGGAAAGCTTACGTTATTAGATATTTGGGTATTCTTCCTAATAAGTTAGGACTTTAGGATTTTTTTTTCAAGTACACTGAAATTTTTAAATTTCCTCAAAATATCTAAAGCATGTGACAGCCCCATGGGGGGAAAAGGCTTTTTTCTTTTTTACATTTAATCATTATACTTAAATCTTCAAAATACTTAGGCAAAAGACCCTGAAAATAAAATTTTAGTAAGCTAAATAGAGCATATTACTTCCTTCTGAAACTAGGAAAGAGATTATTTAAATTCACATAGTGGGAAATATCTACATTTAACACTTTAGACAGGTATGAAAAAATAAACCTAAATGATTTCTCAATTCTGGACTCTTTTATTCTTCTCCCTAGATGGGGGTCAGGGGGGAAGGAATACAAGAATGAGAGGGAAAATGTCCTACTCGAGCTAGTCGTAAGACAAAAAAGCAGAGGAGTGATGCCAGGAGCTGCCCAAAGAGGCAAAGGTACGCTCAGCAGCCAACTGCCATCCTATATGCCCCAGCTTGCCAGTTCACCTAACCAGGACACCAACTCACTTTAAAACACAAAATTTAACCTAGAGTAAATAAAAAAGTCATTGTTACTTAACCAAAACTACATCTCCACACAATTCTCTTATTAGAAGTGCTACTGCTGATATCTAAGTACCTATCATCATCGCCACCTACTACCTTGTACCAAGTTCTTATGTGTGCTAGGCCCTACGCAAAGTATTTTAAAACTATGTTGTATAATCTTTCCCGCGGTCCTAAAATGGAGGTCTTATTATCTCCATATTTCAGGTGAAGAGGACCTTTTATTCTTAGACACTTTCTGAGCAACAAACCTGATTATCTGTTTACCCTGTCATTTCTGGTTAAAATACTGAGTTAAAAAGTTTATTTTAATCTATTTGCCAATTCATTATACCTGGTAAGTTTACAAATTCTTTTCCATTCAAAAATAGTTTCCTAAAAATTGGCTCAAGCACAAACTACTTTCAATATCTAGATGTTAATTTCAGTAACTATAGAACACATTTTCTCTGGAAAGCCATAATTTAAGTATCTTTCCCTGTGCTACCTAGATGGACTTTACATGTTGATTCTTTGACATAAACCGAGTGTATACAGGACTAAAGTATTTAGCAGCACGTGTTCAAAGATAGGCTGGGGGAAAAAAGCATAGAAAAACAACGGAAGTATACTTTTTAAAAAGATTTAAATAGAATTTTTCTTAGAAGATATTTAAATAGTTTATTTCTTTAAGAAATCAAATCCTCTTTTTATTATCCCGAGACTAAACAAGAATATTCTAGATACAAAACTCCATGCTGCAATCCTACTGGGACTTATTGTACAATATCACCTCTACTTCTAAGAAAATCGTAATTTGCCAAAAGAAGTTGCTTTATATCAATGTTTCCCAAAGTGTGTTCCCCATTAATAAGTACTTTAAAAGGAGGGTTCCATGGTAAAACATATTTGGGAAATATTGGCTTAAACTAAGTTCAACTGGTTTCTTTACTGAAGAAGAAATACACATCCCAAATTCTAAAAATATAACTTCTTAAACTGTGGAATGGGAGTTGAGTTTTGTTGTGCATCTTTTCACTAAAAACAAAATATTTTTTAAAAAGCTTGAGGAAAAAAGAAAAAGTAAACTTCTTTTTTCTTAAGGGTAAAAGAGTCTTATTGAAAAATAAACCTATCTGCTTTACATCAAACACTTCACAGGTGACCCTTAATCCAAATAAAACCTTTACCTGTATTTCTCATCTATTATCAAGATCTAATCAACTTATTTTTTAATGCTTTTGTGAAAGAAAGTAACTTTTATTTCTGATAACTGCTACTTGAATAATTCATTAAATAAAAGATGTTGGAAAAATACAGTTCCTCTTTTCTCAAGAAAAAATAAGCCCTCTAATTTATTCAGAGTAGTTTAGCAAGGGATAAAAATAAAAATTTAATAATATAAAAAGTTGTATACGTGGATGTGCAGCAATGACATGATCTAATACTCGGGTTGACAGACTTAAGGCATATATCTAAATACTTGTGGGGAGAATTCTTCATTATTCTTTGTTTCAAATTTTCCCCAAAACAAACACCATGCTAATGGCAGCCAGATGTGAATGAGAAAGCAAGTAAAAAGATGATAATATACTTTCTATGTACACAAGAAAAGTAGTCCCATAATCTCAAGTAACTGCTACTATGAGGTAGACAGTGTAGATACACTGCCAGTTCAATTTTAGCAAAGTTGTAAACTATAATTCTCTACACCTCTGGTGTTAATTCCATGAAGATTATCTAACAATCTATTTCCAATGTGTTAATGTGCCCATAAACTTTATCGAAACTAAATCCTAAACTGCTGCTTTATAGGGTAAAGTAAAGATCTGGATACAGCTACAGTCCCATCACTCTGCTTAGTTCAGCTCTGGTCTCTCCAGCCTTGTCTAAAAGGCAAGTGCATGCACAGATACTTTCAGCACAACGAAAGAAAGACTAGAAAAAAAATGTTGCACTGCTTGTAGTAATAGGATCTGAAAAACACTATCTCAAGAGCCAATCTCTAGACAAGAAATACCTTTGTTTTATAAAATACATTCTTTTATAGGTATTTGCTATAATGGAGTTTTCACTTTATTTTTTCAAAATGCTACTGTAAAATGGAACATGTAAGATAAAATTCTGTAAATGCTATAGCTTCCAAATCAGACATAATGAAAGCTATGGAACTATGTCTTGAAATGACTGACATGACATATAAAATCATGCACTGTATTAGTTAAGTAGGAAAACAAACATGAGCCTCACAAGTGCTATTAAATTAAAAAAAAAAAACTTTGCATTACGAAAAGAAAAAAGCTGGCAACATGTGTTAAAAGCTTAAATTAAACTTAAATGATCAAGATTAAAACTATAAAAGCTTTCAATACAAGAAATATGCTCTCACACATGTTCAGAAACATACCCGCCTTCTACAGAACCTATGAGGCGATCCTCCCTTAGCAATGAAGTTTATACAAAAAAACAAAAATGAAGAGAAAAATCATCCAAAAACTGTAACTATTCGTTTTCCTACAACAAAATTAGCTAAACATTAAATTTATAATAATTAAAATACATATTTTAGCATACTGAATATTATTTATGTTAATCTGCAAAAATATGAAATCTGAGCATTTCTTACTCCTAAGATATTGGCCAGTGATAAAAACAATCTCAGTAAATACATTAATATACTAAAGAATTATTTTTAATGTAATAAAATACAACTGAAATAATTTTTCCTGCAAAAATGTCTATTCTTTTTTCTATATTGTAACTTTACTGTAAAATTAGAAATGGCTTCAACATTCAAAGGATATTTCCAAGAAAAATATTTCTAATAAAAAATTGTAAGAGGACAAAACAAAAAAAGTTACAGAATTATTCCAAATCAGAAGTAATTATTCATAAATTATTCTGACATCATAAATACATTGTAGACTTTAAAACTGCAATGTTACAGATATATGACTAATAATAGTTTATGAAAGTAAGTTATATAAGTACACTGAAACATAAGATAATAAAGTTATATTAACAGTGTAAGAATAATGTCCAGTAAAGCTTACCCTCTGTTCCAATGCTGACTGAGTCTGTTGTCTTAAAAGAGCTTTAAATGGCCCCCCTTCTTTTCCAGCACTACCACTTCCCATTCCTACAGAACATCAGTAGATAAATAACAACCAAAGAAACAACTATAAAAACAAAAAGTTTAGTTGTATTCATCTTTATAAATACAATGTGTCAAAATATGTTGAAATGATCCAAGCATTTAAAGTATTTGGATTGCCAACTAAAGTACGTTCTACTCTTAATTCAGAAAGTTTTCTTAAGAAGCAAGATGTCAAAGGGTGTCCCACTAGCCAAAGCTAGTTTTAGACTTAATTTGTACGAAATATTATGTTAAGGGTGATTAATTTTTATATATATTCAATTTTTTAAAAGTTAGCCTACTAACAGAAAATAATCAAGCCAATTATAATTAGTATGCTAATATTGTTTTTAAATACTAAAAAAAAAAAGAGAAATATTAAATGTTCATCTAAAAGTAAATAGAGAGAGGAAAAGCATTAATTGTACTGATTTAAAATATTCCAAAATTCTTTAAAGAGCATGACTTTTTGGGCAACACTAAAATAAGTCAAATCTATTTTCTGATAACTTCCCTTTTCTGATAACTTCCCATTTCTAAACACAGTATCATGACAAAACAGTATTAATATACATACTTTTCAATACAAAAATAACACAAAAATTTTCAAAAATGAAAAATCAAGACCATGTAACAGACACATTACAAATGTACATAGTTATGGATGAAAGAATTATATTTCCCAAGCTCTTAGATGCAATTTTTAAAGCTTAATTTTTCATTTCTTTTCCTACCTTATTTTATTCTTTTGGTAGTACTACTAGACCAACTATGGTCAAAGGATTATAGAAAGCAGGAGACAGGTGAAAGGCAGGGCTTTACAGAGTAAAGTTATCGGTTCAATCCCACTCTTTTCAAAACTAAAGATACATAGTGTCAGATTCACTACCATAATTTTAAGAGGAACTAATTTAATTTTACATTTTTAGCTGCTCTTGGATAAGGAAACAAAGGTTAGCATGTGTATAGTCCCATTCTGTTCTTCAAAAAAAAAAAAAAAAATTTTTATAGTTAACCTAAACATAATTTTTAAGAGACTATACAATACTAAACATAGAAATGAAACTAAGGTCTTTATATGAAGCATTTAAAAGCCACAAAATAAAATGTAAATTGGTAGAGATAAATTAAATATCGAACATCTAGCAGAATAATTTGATAATATAGGCCATGGGTAGAAAAAAAGAATAATGAAAGAATATCATCAAAATAAGACTTAAACTGATTCAAACAGAATAATTTACTAATGTAACCATATGGTTTAGCAACATGATGGTACAGGTCCAATGTGAATGGAGTTGGTGTGAAGGGAAAGAAAGTGAAGTATCTAAAACAAACTCTAGTAATGAGAACCCAATAGTTATTGGAAATATCTAGATCTATGTCCTTAGACATATAATTTTTTTAAATATACAAAATAATTTTAGCAGAATATTCACAGTTAGACAAGTTACCCTCAAATAATCCTCAATATGTCCTCATGAGAATTCTGATTTTTTAACTCTGTCTGTCAGTAAGAAAAGTCACAGAACGGCATCCTGTGTAAAATACTCAAAAATTCTTTATAGTATAAAATAATTTACTGATTTTCAAAGATGATTTAAGATACAGGAATTAAAAAGCTGATATAATTTGGTCCTACCAGAAGCAGCCAGGAACAGCTCTTCACTGAAAGAAACACTTTTCCTCAGAACTGGGCTGACAAGGCTAGAATGATGAGGGGTAAGGCTAGATTCCGAGAGGAGGAGACAGGACTTTTTAAGATGAAGGGAACCACAAGAGAGAGGGGGGGAGGTGGGACACAGGTAACTCCTAGGCCCCTGTGGGTAAGGTGCTGTGGAGGAAAGTAGCAGAGAAAAGATGCAGATTCAGAAGATGATCAGAAAATGCAGAAAAAGGAAAGCAATGATGAAGCAAAACATAATAAAAATAAACTTTCACATGTATATACAAATTACACTACCATATGAAAAGTAACTAGGTAAAACCATCCTATCCAACATAATGTAAAAAAAAGGCATAGGCTAAAACTTAGCAAAACCTTTACAAACTTTGCATTCAGTAAACATCTTTAAATCATTAGCTTAGGATTTTATGTCATTCCTATCCCTTTTGACTGATTTCTTCAAAATTTTTAAATTACCTGACGTTTTCTGCCTAACATTTTGTAAGGTTAAAATGTGCCACAGTTACAAATTTCTAAAGCCAGAAACTTGTTAATATGGATGCCTCAAATATAAACACTTATCTTAAACGGTATTGTACAGTACTTCAAATGCTGCTAATTAAAAGATCTCATTTATGAGTATTTTAATTGAATAAAAACACACACTACCACATGAGGCAGACAGTTGCCTTTATTCATCTTAAATAAATGAAACTAACTTCCTTCTGTCCAGCTTTAAAGATGTCTTTTAACACTTTCTTTTTACTCTAAACAATTTAATAATCAAACCTGAACATAGCACTGTTTGCATTTACAGAGATTTCAGTACACTGAGGGTCTAATACCCCCTGGATCACAAACAGTACACATGGTTAAATGTCTGATTAAAAAGTAAAAATTATCTTGAGTCAGGTGTCAGTTCGATCTCCTAATGCTAGCATTCTAAAATTCCATTCCTACTAGATGAGTACTTGGAAAAAAATATTAAAATAAAGTCTTGTAGAATATCAAAAAATTAAAATCTACAGAAGTAAATCAATAAACAAAATTAAAAATAAAACGAGACCTACCAGAAAAACAGGTGATAACTTTAACTACAAAAAGAAAGAACAACTTTCTCAGTCTAAGCTTTATTGCCTTTATTTTTGGTTACTAGTTTACTTGTAATAAGTCAAGCATAATCAGCTTATCTATTCCCACTACTTCTCAAGAGACTGATTTTGCATACAGGTAAATTAGAAGGCAGAGACTAATACATGCTGAATTACAGCTTTAGAAATTTAGAACAATCATAACCTGGGCATTTTAATCTCTACAAGAAATAGGAGTGCGCCTCATAACTATTCAAAGATATTTTAGAGGCTTATGATATAGCCAAGGGGCTAAATTGCAAATATTTGATAAACACGCTATTCAGGCAGTGAATAACTACAGGCAAAATAAATTAACTCATTCAGAGGCAGCTTATAAATGCAGAAATACATGAAAATAATACCTCATCTGTAAATGAGTTTTTAAAAACTAAAAATTCAGAAACGAGAAGATGCAAAAAAGTTTTCACTGACAATACAACTGATTACCTACCAGAAAGTTAAGGAAAGAGAAATTTCGTTCAGCTAATTTATTACTTTGGCAATCTTCTTTAGGCTTGGACTTTTGGATGAATTAAAATAAAGAAAAAAAAAGATCACAGAAATACTTTCTAAATATATCTGCAATATGGCAAAATAAAATATCAGAGTATTGAAAAGTGACCTGGGACACAGTCAGTGGAACAAAGCCTTGGAAATTTTTTTTAAAAATCTATTCTTCAAATGCTATTCAAGTCTTTTTTTGCTGATTGTCATAAATTTTAAGGCCAGAGTCTCATTCTTTACATGGGGGGGAGGGGAGAACTTCACTATAATTTGAATGACTGTTTTATGGTATATAGTTAAGGTACTATATTCCAAAGCATCCATTATTATCAAATACCAAATTATTTCAGATGTTATTCATAAGTATGTAATATGTAAAAATAACACTATTATTTTCAAAGAAATAGATATTCATAAATTATTTCCTTTATATTTAAGACTATATTTAAAAAAGCAGAATTTCAATCTACAGGCTTTTTAAATTTTTTTTTTTTTTAGTTTAGAAGTATCACTGGTTTCAGAATTAGATTTCTCTCCATTGTTTTAAAAAATTCTGGGGTCATTTTATACATTTCTTTTCTAAACACAAAAATAAGATTATTAAAGATTATAAATTAAAAATAACACAAATACACAACTATGCAAAATGACAATTTGGTGGCAAAACTGTCAAATAAAAACACTGTTTACAAAAATTACAAACTATTAACTTTGAAATTTTTAAAATTTTTCTTAAAAATAATTCAGTAATTTAAGCAAGTCTAAATTTTAAGAAGGAACTAATTTCATTTTTTATCAATTTTTGAATCATAAAGCATTCATAAAAACCCACAGTGATAATCATCAAAATACAAAAAGGAGAGAAAAACAATAAACTTTGTAAATGGAGAAATATTCAAGAATGAGTAAATTAAAAGTGCTATTTTCTAACCTACGGAATAAGATTAGCAAAAGCAAATATTTTAAATAACAAAAAGTTAATATTAGCTATATGTACTCCCAATATAACCATTTCAGTTGTTGTTAAGATTTTTTTCACAATAAAACCTTAGAATTAATTCAGAAATCAGCAGAAATAATGAATTGAAATTGCTTATACCACATAAGGAATTTGACTTCAAGATACTGGTGTTAACTTTGTGTTCAAATGCCTTAAAATAATGTTATTTTCTCTTAATTTGAGCATGAGATGAAAAACATCTACACACAAAAATAAATTCTGGACTTGATATGTAGGTCTCTGAACAAGATAATTTCTGAACTATAAAAGTGTTCATATTTTAGTTGCAGTAAATAAAAATGATCAGTATTTATATTATCTTTTAACTTAAATGCCAAAAACAGGAGGAAAGGCTAGGATGAAAAGCTAATAAGAAACAGAAACAAATTTGAAAAAAGAAAAAATAAATAAATAAAGTGGATGGAAGCGCCTTACCCGTTTTGGGTGTCAAACTCAAATCTGTGTCAGAAGAAGAGGACTGTCGACTGTAGGACTTGGAAGGTGAAAAGGAATAAGTTTGGTTTTTCAGAGGGGTTGAGGGTCCTGATGAGTGAGTATTGGGATTGGGATCTTCACTGAAGGGAATCCTGCCAGAAGAAGGTGGAGAAATATTAAGTAATCATGTGCCAAAGGGCGTGACAGATGGCAGCATGATCCAAACACCAGGAAAGTACTGGGGCAGGGCCAGCAGTCATTTCTTAAGTGTGGAGCTGGGAATGAGGCCAAAGACAACCAATTGCTGTTTAACCATTCATCATTCTCCAGATAAATATCTTCTGCATTGAAACAGTTAATAAGCCATGTAAAAAGCCAAAAAGCATGAAATGACAGACTAAAGGCGTAAAAAATATTAAAAACAGAAATAAAAAGAATAAATATATGACTGAAAATATTTTCAAATAATTTTTTCAGTTACAAAAGAAAAAATGATGACCCCAAACGGTATGTGTAAATATTCACAACTGTTTTTATATTTACACGTACACACAGATATCTTCAAAAGAAAAAAAAAAATGTTTCCTTATCCTATAGCATCAAGAGTGCCACAGCTAAAAACACAGCAGAGAGGAAGATGAATGTCACTGCACAGAAACACTGCATTTTATGCAGAATAATTGCTTACCTGTTTTCCAATAGCTCTCTTCCACAGAATAAAACAGACCCTATTATAACAGGTTTTGTACATAAAGAAAACAAGCAAATTGACAGCTTTGGCAGCTATTTCATTTAGTATCCAATCATCAAATTTGTATCTAAGCAAATGCAGAAACAATTGCAAAAATACATACTGGAGGATTATCCTAAAAACTCACAGTACACATATAACGAACAGTACACAATATAAGATAGGGTTCTTAGAGGATCTATGGAAGAGACTTTGGAAGTCAGAAGAATACTTTCACTGCCACACAGTTAGAGCCTCTGTAGTGGCTAAATGCAGGAGTTCTTCACTGCAGCTGGACTTCCGAGTGCGAGGAAGCAAAGACTTGTGGTACCTGCCTACACTACCTGCCTGCCTGCCCTCTGCAGCCACTCTGCCCGAGGTCTGCCTCTCCCCAGCTCTGGAGTCTGAGCAGTCTCGTACCAGTATAGATGAGAGTGGGAACAGACACAGAGAAGTTCTGAGTAAGTCGTGAGCCAGTAGCAGTGTGAATTGGGCTGTTGTGAGTCGAGCGGCATCCATGACTTGGAGGATGAACCAGCGGAGACCTGAGGGAATTTGCGGTCAAAGCGGAAGAAAAGAAAACAATACATACAACAGATAGCAAAGTTATGTTAAAATAATTTTAAGGAGCTTTAGTTAGGGGAAAGAACTTATTTTTAAAATCCCTTAGCATGCAAAAAACAAGTTGAAATTTTTTAAAAAAGAATAGCTAAATGTTAATTTGTTAAGATAATTATACTTTAAAAGGATGAGATTAATAAATCATGACTGTGGATAAGAAAAATAGCAAGCAGAATAGTCAGTGAAATTAGACAAGAAAAAAACTAAGATTTGGATTTTCAGTTGCTTTATCATGTTATTTTGATCACCATAGAGCTTACTATATAATATTTATGGGCGGAAAACACCCATAAAAGTGGAAAGTCAAATATAAAGTTCTCATATTACCTTTGAAATTGAGACATGAGTAATTCCTAATACAATTAAACTTTTCTATAAAGAAAGTCTAACTAACAGATCTGTTTCTGTCTGTAATCTCAAAATAGGAGTGCGTAAGACAATGAGAAATGAAGTGAACTGAGTGGAAATAAGCAGATTTATCCATTTCAGTATTTCAGCATTCGAAGTATATAGCTTAAAACCAGGTTACACTGGGAACAAAACAAAGAAAGGGGATATTGCTTTTAAAAACACATTAAAAAGCAAAGTAAATGATTTTGTCTCTCTTATACAGAATAAATTAAACCACATTCTGAAAATTTTGTAAGATACCAACTTATATCCTGCAATACACCACATCTGTGTGTGTATAGATATATATGTAGATCAGATATAGACATATATTCCTATCTAACATTTAAAATTTTCTAGAAAAAATGTGGCTACAAAGGCATAGTTACAGTGGATGGGAGAAAAAAGTACTGGTATATTATATACATATATATAAGAATCCTGGACTTTATATTAGCAACTATTATTATGGAGTAATGCCTTCTTCACATATATACAATGTGAGAAAAAGAATTGTAAGTGAATGTACTCTGAAAAACAATTATCTCTCCATTTTTTCAGAATTCTAATTAAAAACAAGCCAAAAGCCCTAGTTTTTCTGGTCTTTTTTTTTTTTTCTTTTCCTTATACTATTGACTGTCCAGTGAACATTCCCACCAATCATGATTTGTCAAGGTTCAAACATGAGCTATTAATAACTGGCTAAATGGTCTTTCATGGGGTCTACAGACTACTCTCAGAAAATATTACTGATTTTACAATAAGACAAATGTTTCTGCTTTTGTTACCAGTATAAATTTAAAATGTGTTCAACTGATAAAAATTAAACATCTTATCGGGGACTTATTTTTATGCAAACAACTAATGGAGGTTTCATTTTGTTTTGTATTGAAGTGACCAATGGACTATAAAAAATCTAAGAATCAGTGCCATAAAGAAGAGAAATTATGGCTAAAGTCTCCTAGAAAGTACTTTTTTTATTTTAAGTAGAGAAGCAATAAATCACATTTAAGAGCACTTCAGATTCTCAAGATTGTTCAGCCTGGAAATATTAAGAGATTTACATTGTGCATTTTACTAAACATCTAAAAGTAAAAATCAAAGTTATGGAGTAGAACACATCATTAATAAAGGTAAAATAAAATGGACATTATAAAATGTTCAAATTATGACATCAAATTAAAATCTAAATACACTGGAGCATCATCATAAAGTATTCTTAGGGTTCTAATTCTATCAATCCCCTTGCAGGAGAGATCACCTTACAATAACACTCCTGTGGTATTTCTAATACTAAATCCATTCAGATAGGAACATAATCCAAATACCTTTTAGCCAATTATTATCTAGAATCAACGTTACATGATAATTTAAATACCAGATTAATTATAATCAGCTGAATCATAAAATAAAGTTTTAAAACAGTGCCCATATTGATTCGTTATCAAAAATACAAAGAAGTCAGTTAAAATAAAGCAGCCTGAGCACTGAGATTTTTTTTTTTTTTAATATAACGTGACTGAGGTAGTAAAATGACTTTCAGAAAATCTTAATGAAGCAACTTAAATTCTCCATGGTGTAAATGTTTGACAATTTAAGGCAAATGGCTACAACAAAATTAGAAAAGGAGAAAACTTACACAATCCCAGAGGATCTACATTAATGTAACCCCTCCTGAATGCACACCTATTCCCCTGCTATCCCATATCTCATTCTAAGATAACAACAGGTAATCTAGTTTTCTCTTTCCACTAAGTAATTTAGTGAAAACAGGAGACCTTCAGACATCACAGTCAAAAAAGCCAGACCTCTTAAGGCAATGCAGGTAAAGCCAGAGAGTGGAAGGAGAAGGATCCAGGTCTTAAAGTCACTAAGAAAAACAAATCTGAATCCCTCAGAAAGTTACACCTGCAATCTGACTTCACCAGTAGCAGCAGGTCGATCATATTTCTCTAGTACATATATTAAATGGGATGTAAAGCAAATTTACTTTTCAATTTATTTAAAACAATTTTTTCACTTGTCAATGTATTTCCAAATATAATTGGCAATATACGTAATACTGTGGTCCCTCTTGTGACTAAAATTTAATCCAAATGATTAAAGGCTAGCAGAAAGGAAATGACGAACAGAATAAGCTTAAGATAAAGAAGAAAATCTCAAAAGCCTGTGACTGCTTTCTACTCAACCTCTTACAACTACTGCTGAACTTGGAAACATTTTAGATTTTCTGACTATAGAATGATGACTACCTGATGACCTATAAAAGGGGTCAGCAAACTACAGACCATAGGCTAAATCCAGCCTGTCATCTGTTTTTGTAAATAAAGTTTTACTGGAACTCAGCCACATTCATTTACATAATGTCTATGGCTGCTTTCACACTACAACAGCGGGAGTTGAGTAACTGTGTCACTGAATTCTAAATCATCTACCCGTACAAAAAAAGTTTGCCTATCTGTTATCTAGAAGAATCTCTAGAACAGTGGTCCTCAATGGAAGAACTATTAGTATTTAGTGTGGAATAAGTCTTCATTATGCAGAATTGTCCCCTTCTGTGTAGGTTAGTCAGTATCTCTATACCCCCTCCTAAACTGAAAGCCAATAGGATCTGTCTCCCCATCGCTATGACAAATATCTCCTGTTGACAGTACTGTCACCAATGAGAATCTCTGCCCTAGGCACAAATAACAGCACATAGGCCACATCCAGTCAATGAATGTGTTTTGTTGGATCACATATAGTTTTTTAAAACATATGAGTTTAAATTCTTTTGGACCAGGGCCAGAAAACACCTTTCTTTGGAAGTAGACTTTTACTAGAACACAGTCATGCCTATTCATTTATAAATTGTCTATGGCTGCATTCACACTATAACGGCAGAGCTGAATAGTTGAGACAGAGGCTATATGGCCTGCATGCCAAAAATATTTACTTCTGGCTCTTTACGGAAAAATTTGCCAACCCCTGCTTTAGATAGCTCCCAATAATCCCTATTAATTATACCCAATTTTTGTCTTTATATAAACTGCCTGGCCTCTGTCGACATTTGACTTGGAGACCTCTGCACAAATCAATCTTTCCTACTTTCTATATTACGTTGCCAATAATAAGCTTAACAAATTATCAGATAGAGGGTTTTAAGCACTCCTCAGGAAATAAGTAAAATTCCACACAATGCATAAATATCCACTTTATGCTTTAGATACACAGTGTCTAAAGATCTGAAATAAGTTTAATTTTACATGACTTAATTAGATTTTCATATTAAGATAGTGCAAATGTATTAGAAATTTCTAGGTATTTTTAAGCTTCACATTTTGGCAATCATCTACGATAAGAAAAATCACAATACAGGGAAAAAAACGTATGTTGGACAAACCTACTAAAATGTTTCAAATCAAATGAACACGTCTAGGTCAAAGATAAAGTGCTCCTTCCATAAGGACAATCCATTGATTCATACTTACTCCTTCATTTCTTTGGATGGGGAATTACATGCAGGAAGGAATGCTGCTGGGCTACTTAGTTTATCCAGGGTACACGCTGTTCCTATGGCTCGTACCACTAACCCAGACTCGCCCTCCAGATCAAAACACTGTAAGTACCCAACAACTGCATTTCCTCTCATTTCAAGTACTTTCAGACCAATCTTCCTTTGCAGTTCACCTACAAAAAAGGAAGAAAACTCATTCCGCTTCATATCTCCACATCACAAACTACAAAACTGGATGTAATGCTAATAGGAAAAAAAAAAAATCATAGATTTTTAGAACCTGAAGGGACCCTAAAAGATTATATTATCTGGTCCAGCCGCCTACTTTCAGGGAGGTAAGATGTTATTAGCTACATTTTATACATGTGGCAATTAAGGTTCACTCATTCATATATTCATTTATCAAATAATTTTTGGTGTTTACAAAGTGCTAGAGATATAGGGATAAACAAAAAAGATAAAGTCCTATAAAACACAAAGAGTGAATCCTAACGTAAACTATGGATTTCAGTTAATAATAATGTAACAATATTTGCTCACCAATTATAACAAATATACCATGCAAATGCAAGATGTTAATAATAGCAGAAACAGTGTGCTGGCGGAAAGGGAACTGTACTTTCTGCATAATTTCTCTATAAAATTAAAATTGTTCTAAAAATAAGGCTTTTTTTTTAATGAAGGGAATAAAAAAAGATAAAATCACAAACCTAATGGAGTTTACATATTGGTGAGAGAAACAGACATAAACAAATAAATATAAAAACATACACATATATAGTATATAACATAAATAAGCACACTGTCTTATTACATATAAAAATAATACATATTTACTGTTGTTGTTAGGTGCCAGTCAGTCAATTTTTTATTCAAAGAGACCCCATGTGACAGAGCAGAACTGCCCCATAGAGTCTTCTGGGCTGTAATCTTTACAGGAGCAGATCACCAGGTCTTTCTCCCGGGTAGCCTCTGGGTGGGATCAAACCACCAACTTTTCGGTTAGCAGCCAAGCACTTAACCACTGTGCCACCAGGGCTCCTTTATATATATATTTATTTATAAGTAAAGATACACAATCCAATATAGAATATAATATAAATAATTTATATTTATTGAATATAAATACATTTCTATTCATTTACTTGGTTTTTGTTTAGTGTGTGTGTGCACCTATAAATATAAAATTTAGGTGGTAAAAAAATTTTTCAATAAAAAATAAAGCAAAGTAATGAGTGGAAGAGTGGCAGGGAAAGGGGAGGTAGAAGGAGCTACAAGAAGTTGTCAGGGAAGAACTGAGAAAAGGAAACATTTGTGCAGAAAGCATTAGAGAGAGGCAGGTAATATGCCTAAGATCTGACTACAAATAAATGTTAGAGGATAGAAAACTACAACCCAGATTTCCTACCTGCTGGTTCAGAACTCTTTTCACTATGCCACTTCATGAGCACAATATCTTCTTATGACCTGGTTAAGAAGGAACTATAAGCTTCTTATACAGAATTCCTCTTCTTACAAGATGGTATTGCATGTGTGTTTAGGAGGATGGGGCAGGGGCAGGGAATGAGTCAGAATTCATAACCTATTTGTGAAATTTCAGATACCATGTCAAAAGGAAGTGAAGAATTTAAGATCGAACACTCCCAGCCACCGATAAAACGTATTTACTATGCCACTTTTGCCTCCTCTATCTCTAATCCACAATAAAAAGAATCTATGCAAAGTCATCAGCAACACACCAGAACAATTTCTAGAGTATTGCCAAATTCTGGAACTTAGCTGGTGACACTAGTCACTCCAACTAATGAAAAGCAGTCATTTATTCTGCTCTTCTTAAAGTAACTAGAGTGGGGGGTAGCTGCTCTTCTTTCCTTCTTTATGTATTATCTGAATTAATTCATATATAACATCTCATTGGTGGTTCAGTAGAATTCTTGCCTTCCATGCTGGAGACCTGGGTTTGAATACTGGTCAATGCACCTCATGTGCAGCCACCTATGATGCTTAAACAGGCTTCAGCGAAGCTCTGACACTAAAACAGACTAGAAAGAAAGGCCTGGTGATCTACTTCCAAAAATAAGCCAGTGAAAACCTTATGGCTCACAACTGACCAATCCACAACCAATCATGAGGATGGCATAGGACTGGGCAGTGTTTTGTTCAACTGTGCACAGGGTTACCATGAGTCAGGGACCAACTCAAAGGCGGCTAACAATAGCAACAACTGTATCTTATATGTATTCATTTTTTTATTAGATATTATTACTTCTATTAAATATCATATTTGTTATTTGGTTTTCACTTCATTGTATCCAAATAACTTATTAATTAAAGAAAGCAAATATAATAGTATCAATGCACATGATGTTTACACAAATAAGATCATCTAGAATGAAGCAAAGGGTCTAAAATGAGAAGCATTAAGAAGTATGATGGCTTGAACTGAAGAAAGTTTTGCTTTATTCCTTATCACTCATTGCTTTTTAATCACCCTAGGATTTTCTCTGTACTTGGGTCTAAGCCATCAATTGCAGATGAGAAAGTCCATTTGCACATGAGCTTCTATATTAAATCCCCAACATATAAATTAACATATTGAATAGCTTTTTCACTGTCCACACTCATTTTCTCTACTTAGAGCACATTTTCTTTTGCTCACTTACCAAATCATATGTATGTATGGCAGTCTGGAGGACAATGTTAGTACACCTATCCGTGTATTTCTCTGTTACCTGTAGTCAGATGGGAATTCTTCTCTTAGGAGCTATACATCAATGTCACTACATTTATATATGTGCAGTTATAAGCATGGGTACAAAAATACACCAGGATATGGCCCAAGGTAAAGAATTGTAGAAGTCTGGTATTCTTTGAAGTAGCAGACACATGAGTATGAATGTCACTTAATTTCTGAGCCTGAGTTTACTCACTTGTAAAACAGACCTACTAAAACTTCCTCTGCCAAACTCACAAGGTTACAAAGACAAAACAAAACAATGTAGACGAATGTGTTTGGTAAGCTCTTGTAAAAAAAAAAAAATTAAAACAACAGTAAACAAATGGTAGGTGGTTTCATGTCTCTAAGCTTTTTTAATGTAGATACCTTTTTTACAGTATTAATATTAAAAATACCAATAATACCAATACTCAATATATCCCAATATAAAATTTTTTTATATTCTCTTTCAAATTCTGTTGAAATACGCGTAAGTTGTTTTACACACTTATAATCCAAAGTATATAGATTTTTATATTCTGCTTCTACTAAGCCAGTCAAAAAAATTTACTTTGTTTCCTGTGGTCTTCACAAGTATTCACTTTTAGGTTGCTGAAAATTCATCGAACTGATATATTTAACTACTCCCTCCCTACTGTGGAAAACATTTAAATTCTTTCTATGTTTTTGCTATTATAAGTAAGACAACACTACAATGAATATCTTTGTGCTTTTCTTCTGGTACTGATTTATCTCATGAGAATGAATTCCAGGAATGGGAAAATTAGTTCAAATGGCATAACATTTTTATAGTTCTTGATACACTGACAGGTCACTTCCCAATAGGCTTATGTCATTTTACAAAGTCACCAACAAATCTACGACAGATCTCAACATAAGCTCATTAGCACTGGGTGGGCTTTTACAAATGTAGAAGATATAAAACAGTATCATGGTCTTTCCTTCATCTGTGCTTTTTTAATCTTAGCCAAGAATATTTTCCCAAATTTGCTTAGCATTTTATTTCCAATTGTGTAACCTGTCTGCTTATATACCATGCCCATTTACTATATCCCTAAAAAACTATACATGGTATCGGAGAAGGCAACCATACATTTTCACACACAGACAAAAAAAAAAATTCTTTAGTTACCTGAGTGAATCAGAAGTCTAACATGTATAAACTACTGAATTGAGCCAATATGGCATTTTCCATATTCCAAGGGTTTCATTGCCAAAACTTAAACTAAATATTCAATCTCTTCTTCTTTCCAGACAAGTACTAGCTTCTCCTTACTAAAAACTAAAAGTAATCTGACAATATATGAAATAGGAAACATTGGATACATTTAAAAATCCTGTTTCCAAACTACATATCCTAGCTCCTTATTCTAGATTTTTAAGTCTTTTAAGTAATTCTGACTTGTACAGTTCTTTAGTAGCTTCCAATCAGTAGCAAACTCTACCAACAGCTATTATATTAAATACACACATGCACACAAACACATATAAATTGATTTAAAAACAGACTATTATAAATTATCTCACTACTGAATTTTTCTATGTGAAACAAAAAAAAAAAAATCTATTCCTCACTTACTATCTCATTATCTGATATTTCGCATTTACGACCATAGTAAAAAATACACTATCCCACTATTTTATACATTAATGATGTATGTCTGGTAGTAACGGAGGCTGAGGTGCGAGGCGAGAATAACACTGGCTGCAATGGTTATGTGTCAGCTTTGTTAGGCCATGATTCTCAGTGGTTTGGCAGTTATGTAATGATACAATTTGGCAGTTATGTAATGATGTAGTCATCTTCCATTTTGTGATCTGATGTGGTCATCCTCCATTTTTCATAATGCCGATTTTCACAAAACAACCTGGTCTTTGGAACCTAGCCACATCGGTAAGTGAGGAATAGGTGCAAGAGCTTTTAGACACCTTCCACTATGAAGAACACAGACAGCAATGTTTATCCTGCTATACTTTATCCTGTCCATATTAACTGTATTTCATAAATAATGAATAATTCACTTAATGTGATTTTGAAGGTTTTCTATTATTGTATTTTATTAATATATATAAACAAAAATATTTCTGCAAGAATTTTTAGACACTTTATAAGAAGCTATGTTATAATATACACAGTTTCATACCAACTTGCACAGCTTTAATAAACAAAATAATCAACCGCTTTCCATCAGGTCAGCTCTAACTCATGGCAACCACGTGTGTGTCGAAGTAGAACTGTGCTCCACAGGATTTTCAATGCCTGATTTTTCAGAAGAAGATTTCCAGGCCTTCTTCCAAGGCACCTCTGAGCAGACTTAAACTTCCAACCTTGTGATCAGCAGTCGAGCATGTTAATCATTTGTTTGCACTCACCCAGGGACTCCAAACAAAATAAAGAGACCAATATAACTAAAGACCACAGAATATTTTTAAATA